AAGCATTTTTGTTCTCTTACAAGATGATTATTAGATGGTGCCAACAGCATCCTGTAAAGCTAAATGAACAGTAGAGTTTGACCTATATATTGTCTGGATTTATTGCTGGTGGAATTTCAGCTCGGCTAGGCTTCATCATCAGCTCCTGGAGTTATCAAATCCCATTTTTCCATTTTATGTTCCTCTCTCCTATTTTGTTTTTTAATTTTTTTTATTTTTTTGCTTTTTCCAGTCCCACCATCTGGGGCCAACAAAAAGGTGACAGGAGTTGGATAGATATCATTGGAATTCAATCTATTTCAATTGATCCCTTTGGCATGTCAGACTTGCAGTTCATTTTTATCAGCTTCATCCAGTAAACTATTTAGTAGGTCTTTTTCCTCTTTTTCCCCAACCCCATTTTTCTTTTATAGATGAAACCTTTTTCCTATACTTTAGTATGATAAAAGTTTTTCTAGAGCCAAAAAAAAAAAAAAACCTTTGTCCATGGAAGGTCACTATTTGACGCTACCTAAACTTGTATAAATAGTTGTCACTGTTGCCGAAATTTTAACTTGTACTAGAGATCGTTTTTGTGGTCGTTTTACCTTTCCTTCGTTTACTGTTCAGACCAACCCACCCCCCCCTTCGCCCTTTGTCTTTCCCTTTTTATCTTCTCTTCCATGTGGGGGAGCTTTTCAAATCTCAAAGCCACTGTTTGCCGACAAACATAGGAGGCCAAATTATGGGACGAATGATCCATGATTGGACTAACCAGTTAAAAAATACCGGGCCAGTGGCCATGGCATATGTAGTATACAGATTAAACAAGCCAGGAAGAAGTATTTCCAGGGCAAAATTCGATCCAAGATTACAAATTCCAAAACCCCTTTTTGAGGGTTTCAGCCATGGGATTTGCTATAACATTCATGCTAAGCAACTTCTAAAACTGGGAAAATCAATGTATCCCATATAATGTCATGTATCCAATGTATAAGAAACAAGTTAGCTCCTTTTGTGGGTGAAGAATCTGGAACCATAAGTTGGGAAATGCTGAAAGGAAATAATATATATATATTATATATACAATAATTCAAGCGCGGGGGGCGTCTCTTTGTTATAATATTATCGATTTGTTAAAAAGGGTAAAGGGTCGCTATCTCTACCTTTTTTAATCTGAATTCTTTTATAGTGTTGGTTTGTTTATTTTCTTTTGCATTTGCTTCACAAAAATTTAACATCACCCCATGTTTTATACCTCCAATTTTCGATCAAAATCCTCATGCTGGATAAAATGGTTCCAAATTGGATCGTCAATCTTGTCGTCACCCATCTTTACAAGTGGCAGATTCAGAAACGGGGCCACTGCCATTAACTTACACATGAGCTCTCTCTCTCTCTTCTCTCTCTCTCTCTTTCTCTCTCTCTCTCTCTCATATATATTATATATATATATATACTATTAGTGCTATTATTTTCTTTTTCCTGTTAAATTTTTGACAACCTTTCCTTCGTCAAACTTGGTTGGCCCTCTTATTCTAGTACTTTATGGTTGACGTGACTGTACACAAATCTTTATACCATTGGTTTGTTAAAGAATATGTATTAGTTTTTTAAACTTTAATATATATATTATGTATGTATATATGTATGGGACGATTGGCTCTCCTTAATTTTGATCAATCACTCGATCTTATTCTGCGGAGTAGAATATCATTAATAATTGATGGGATATTTTGATTTAAAGCTTTCATCCGTTTCCAAATTTTCTGGTGGAAGTCATTGTTCAACAATTGGGGTTGGAGGATTGACATATGACTGCTAATTAATATTGATTTCTGTGTATGCTTTTAATTGGTTTAGCTAAAGCTTGATTGTAAACCGAAAATTAGAATTTTGTTTCTGTAGGAGCTTAGCTCTATTGCCATGCCACGTTGATATTTATTTAGGTATGTTTGAGCTGGAAAAGAGAAAGGATATGAGCAAGAGCAAAGTACATTGTTTTTGCAATCAAACATCTCCCAAAGCTTATCAAAAGGAAGACAAAAGGAGGTCGTCACCTTCAGCTAGATTTTGTTCTTTCTGACTTTGAACCCACAAGAAAAAATAAAAAGAAACAGAGAGGCAAAGTACTTGCTTATGGTTCTTGGACATGGAAAGGCAATTTAAAACATCAAGATAAATGGCTTTTGAACTTTTAATTACACCCTTTACTAAAACATATATATATATATATATATATGTATTTGCTCACAGTACTCAGGGCTGTTGCAGCAGAAAGAAGCGCCTTATCTCTTTCTTTCTGGTCTCTTGCTACATCTTGTATTGTATTATTTGAACATTTCAGCAAAAAAAGAAAGAATAATTACCAAACCAAAAATATCAAGGGATGTAAGTTTCCAACTAGGCAGTTGGGAAATGAGAAGCACATGGATAAGTTCAAAGGCAAAAGGTCGACATCAAACAAAAGCCATTCACAAACTTGAGAAAATCAATGAGCAGTGTTGGCGAGCCGAAGTTGACATATATATATATCTTCAGGATTACAAGTTTTTCTCTAATCCATTTAGTCAAGCTTGATAAAACTCTTCCCCGAAGCTTCAAAACTGCATCAACAGTTCTTTGATATTTTGACAAGCCAAACCTACCAACTCCTTACAGTAGATTTTATCTTGACTTTAATCCATGTTTAATTCACATGTAAATATAGGGGTTGGAAAAAGAGGGAGTAAACGGGGGTTGGCTCGACTGGGTTGATTTATTGCTTTGATTTGTTTAATTACTACCATTTGAAAGTACTGTCAAATAATTTCCAAGACAGCAGCGCTGTGGATTTTGCTTTTGTCAACATAAAATTTTCACGTGTTGTTTGCTCAAATTGACATTGCCTGCACGCAACCGCAATATTAGAGGTTTGTTCATTTTAGTACATAGGATCATGCAACCCTTTTTCAGGTTGAAAATTCTCTTACGCACCATTTTATGAAGGAATATCCCACGTCAGACATTTCTATGTTAATTTATATTGAAATAATTTATCTGTCTCCACTTTAATTAATAGAGTATATTCATGTTATATACTAGTATTAATTGGATTTACCAGAGTTTTGCGTTTAATCTTGAGGGGGTTTAAAACAAAAGGTACAAATGCAACAGAGTTCAGACTGAAATTCAATGGGAGGAAACTTGTTGAATCTGAAATTGTTGGATTTAATTAGGGGTTACTTAAAGCAATATTGGGCTTGAAAGGCTGTGAAGTTGTGCTTTTTAGTAACTCACCATTGAGTAGCATATTCATTTTACATGACATGACTTGCTATTAACCACTTTTCTATTCAATGGGCTCATTTGATCAGCGCGTGCCTAGTTAGCACACGTTTTCTTTCGTTTACTAATTTTTTTCTCCAACAAGGGACGGTTGGCATAGATGTGGAAGAGGCAGCAGCAGACCAGCCTAAGCAAGGCTTAGGCAGCCCTAAGCCCAACGTATTAGGGCTATGAGGTGGACCATCTGATTGCAGGCAAAGTTCGGACGATGGATTCTCTTTTGTATCTAAATAGACTTTCGGTTTTCGACTAGTCCATTTTAAGTGCTGTAATAATATTATATACACATGGGGCCTTGTCTCCCTTGCTATATATAGTCTAGACCAATAATAGCGAAGTAGTAAATGTCTTTTTCACGCACAAAGCCAATAACACCAACAGTACAAAGGAGATACACTGGTTCAACTTTAGCTCATTTTAACCTATTAATTATTCATTTTCAACTGACCATATAAAACTGATCATTTCAATTGTGATCATCTTGGCCTTGAAAATTGAAGCATGGGGAGACATTTCCATGGAAGATGATATCAAGGCAGCAAATCTGGCCCAAATTTTATGGGGTCAAAAAGCAGGGCTTTGAGGGACACGTCAGAGCGGCCCAACACGGCCTGAATCATTTTGCCAACAATATCGCGCAAAACCCGAACCGCGAGAAAAGGACAGGGCGCTGCCTGGAACTCTTTCAAGGCCCTGTTTTTTAAAAAGTTTTTTTGCGAGTTTAACCACATCGGTCTATTTCCCGTTCCGTTCCCGGTCAAACTAGGGAAGTTGGGAAAAACAATTTATAAAAGGAAAAAAAATGGAAAAATAGGAGCGGTAATGGAAACAACGACGTAGCCAATAGGCAATTGTTGGAAGGTAACGGCGCCGAGAGCTGAGTCGAGCCGAGACCAAAGTTAGAGTCCGTGTGCCTCACGCGTCAGTCGGCAGCCGGCACATCACTGCCGCTCATCAACATCATCCCAAACATCGACGCAACCGCGTCTCCCTCCCCCACCCCTTCTACCCTTTTTGCCCCTGGGAACCAATGCTGGGATTCAGCTTTGGGGCCTGTGGAAACGCAACGCGAGAATTTTCTTTACTCTCCTCTCTCGTGAGCTACTAGCCTGCCACAACGTACATGTAATACATCAAATTATTCGTGAAAGGTAATACGAAAAATCATTTGTGCATGTAAAAATGGAATACGGTAGAACAAAATTTGGTCACTTTGTTAAAGCAGTCAAAGATGTTCTTAATTTTCCATGGGAAGAGGAATATTGAAACCCAACCCACATGTTTCATGGCTCGACGTTGCATGTGGCATGTATTGGTACATGTCACTGAAAACGAGGTAGCAAGGCACGGTGAAGCAAAACCTTTACTCATCACGGGCTGGTTGAGACGCGTGGGAAAGAAACAATTTAAATTTAAAAACATAAATTTGAGACATTTAAAATAAAAATGAAAGGAAATAGAAGACTAAACAATGCTAGCAGCAAAAGAATCTTCCAAATTGGGATTGATATGGATGATCCACCCGACGACCAAAAAAATTAGGCACCCCCTACCCCTAATGCAGAAAACAGAAAGGACGCCTACCCCAAATGCCTACGACTTTTTCAGTATGTCATCTCCACTTAGGAGGAGGGATGGTTTATTTATGTTAGCACGAAAGAAGGTTAAGTACAGCTGATAGGTGGTATATGGAAGCTGTCTTATCCACGAAAACGGAGCAAAGACTTGCACTTTTATTTTTTGGCCTGGGAGGAGTATGTAACAGCAGCCCATAGCAGGGCCAGGGCAGCAGCAAAAAGGAAACGTCAAAATGCCAACTGGACTAGTAGCCGAGCCGAATCCGATGATGACCCAAGCTACCAGCCCACCTCACCTCACGCGCTCACTCACATCCCGGCGACGCACCCTCACCCTCTTTCTATTATTCCCTTTCCCTACTCTCACGCCCCTCTCATGTGTCCGGCGCGTCATCGCCGAACCGACCCCTACCTCTCCTTTTTCTTTTAACCTTTCCCAATCAATAACCTAAATCTCCCCTACCGCCCCAAAAACAAAAACCAACACCACCCCGTTCTCCCCACCCCCAATGGGCGACCTTACCGATTCCCTCACGCCGTCAACTACCCCCACCCCTCTTTCCACCACGCCCCACTCACGTCCGCTTCCTGTCCGTGAAGATTGTTGGTCGGAGGAAGCTACCTCTCACCCTCGTCGACGCTTGGGGTCGCCGTTATCTCGAGCTTAACCGTGGGAACCTTCGCCAGAAGGACTGGCAGGATGAGCTGACGCCGTTAACGCCCTTCATGGTCATACCAAAAAGACGCATCGTACCGATGTCCAGTGCAAGAACCGGATTGATACCATTAAGAAAAAATACAAGATCGAGAAAGCTCGTGTTACCTCCTCTAATGGAACCCTAACGTCATCTTGGCCTTTCTTCGAACGCTTGGATGCTCTTATAGGATCCAATTTCTCCGCTAAAAAGCCTTCGCCGTCGCCTAAGATATCACCGAAGCCATCGCCGAGGTTGTCACCAAGGATCCCGGGGTCTCCTCCTGTGGCTCTCCCGCTTCCGCTGCCGTACAGGAGGACTCCGGCGTCGGCTACGGTTGTCGCTCTTCCGCAGAAGAGGCCGGCGGACGATGGATACTTCAGGAGAAACTATTCTGCCGTCGCGGCTGCAGCGGCTGCTGCAGCTGCGGAAAGTGATGAGGAAGAGGGGGAGGAAAGCGAGGCGGAGGAAAGCGAAGGAGAAGGAGAGGAGAGGGAAGGGATGAGTAGATTGGCCAGAGCGATAGAGAGGTTTGGGGAAGTGTATGAAAGAGTGGAAGGGGAAAAGCTAAGGCAGATGGTGGAATTGGAGAAGCAAAGAATGCAATTTGCTAAAGATTTGGAAGTACAGAGGATGAGGATGTTTATGGATACGCAGGTGCAGCTCGAGAGGATCAAGCGTGGCAAACGATCCTCGGGGTCCAGTGGTGAGGCCTATTCTTCCTCATAAAAAATCTTGTTCTTTAGCTTTATGTATAATTTATTTGTTATTTGATTGATTGGGATGTATATTTTCATGTAATGGATTCATTTATGCTTTGTAGCTGTTGTTTCATTTTAAAAAACATTGTTTTCTTGATTAGTTGTTTTAGTGTGTTTTGGACCATTAGATGGGAATGAAATAGAAAGGGTCTTAATTTATTGAATTCTGTTAATGTTGTTTCTCATGAGGTTTTGCTCTTATCATGATTGACGAACCCTCGTTATGTTTGGAGAGTCTGTCCTAAGCTTCAGGCGTGAGAAGCTTGAAGATGTTCAAAGCAGTAATTTTTAGTATTGGTAATGGACCATTTTACTTGATTTGTTGTGTGGTATGTTTGCTTTGTTTGATTGATGACCATAAAGGGAATAGCCAATCAGACCTGTGGGGGGTGGGGGTGGAAATCAGTAAAATTTTTTTTTTTGAATGATATTATATTTTGATGATATGAAGGTGTAATCTTCATTCATGGATGAGTGTTTTGGAATGGTTTGTGGTATATTTGTACAATACAATGATAGTTAATTCTCCAATTGGTATGCTTTTCTTCTGCAAAGGTTTTAATGCTAATTGTGGAAGTGCTGTCTTGGAACTAGTTCATTATTTTGTCGTGAAAGCTTTCTGTAGATATGAATGACGGTAGATTATGGCTGATGCATAGTCTGCTACTGTCTTTTACGTGTTTGATGTAGAACCATGCATGAATCCCTGGGTTCCCTACCTGTATTTGATAAGGTGCATTACTTGAAAGTTGCATTGTTTGATATGGATTTCAGTTTGACATTTGTTTTTCTTGCTTTTACATAAATTTTATGTCATTATGGTATGGAACAGGTATATATGTATCACAAGTTGAAGCATATGGTGTTAATTTAGGCTTTTGGATTTTTAAAATATGTCCTACCCCAACATCTATATACTGAGTTCTTTTAGTATGCTTCTCTTGGATTTAAGGTTTGACTTGTTTCCAACGTGTTTTACAAAAGAAAAGAATTGAACCTTGACCACTGTTGCTTTTGAAATGCCATGTTCAATGTGCTCTGGTGGCTATGTAATGTAAGTAGATAATGTGCTCGGTCATTAAGGTTTAAGATTTGGAGTTACTTTTGATGTGGAAATTGACTGACTTGCCAAAAGTGACAAACCAAACTCTGCTGATCTTTTTGTTGATACTAGCTGATAACAAGATGCAGGCTGATAACAAGACTTGCCTCTTATATCTGCCAAACATATCTACCCTACATAGATAAGGTTGGGAGGTTGACTTTAGTTGATAATTTGTCAGTCCATGCCCCATTAAACATTTAGTTGATTTGGAGTGTTGTCAGTTCTGTTGTCTTCCATTTTGTTAAATGCGTGCTTGTAATGGCCTTATTCTATGAAAATATGTTTATTGGAATATCCTGATGCATTAAGGCTTGTGTTTTGCACTCTGCAGGTTACCATATGTAGTTGAGAGGTTTTTGGAAATTTTTATTATTTATATATATAAAGGAAAGGCAGGGGTGGGTTTAAAGTGTGTGTAACTTGTTTGACCAGAAAAAAAAAAGGGTTTATATCTTGCTTACAGACCATCAGGTTCAGGCTTGTTTTCAGATAAACTTTTCTCTGGCCCTCTCTTTTACTTTCATGGTGTATTGGCAGAAAATGGATGTTTCTCCATTGCTGGTCTGCTGACAGAGGTTGTTGGCTGTCTTTACCAACAATATCATGTGCCAAAAAGCGTATTGATGCTCATCCAGAGCTAAATATGCTTTAGCTTTTAAATTGCTCTCATATTTGTGGTGCACATAACGCAACCTTAATGATTTTTCTGTCACTTTTCTGTATGGGTAAGAATACTTTCCTGCTTCAGAAAAATAGGTAAAAGAGTACCAATTTTGATGCTTGCCTTTTGCCATATAGGTTTGTTTTTGAATATGGTTCATGATGAATGGTACTGAAGTTGAACTTTTAAAGGACCTTTTAAGCTTGTCATGACTTAGTCAAATAGTCATGATTATAATTATGGTCTGTATGTGGAGTCCTTGATTGATTGTAAGAAAGATAAAAGCTAGACTCAAATAGATATCGGGTACACTGTTTTTGATGTCCCATAAAAGGTATTGTCTGCTGTTATGTGCCTGTCTATTGCGTTTCCTCTGTGCATGCGAGTTTAAGATTGATAAACTGCATTAGATCATCTGCTATACATACTTATCTGCAAGAATTTTTGCGAAGTTGTACACTCAGCTCTGTTTAGCATAATGGTTGTCATAGGCATTCTAATACAGGGACCAACTGTTTTCCTTTATTTGGGACCATGGTTTGACTGATTGACTTTTCAAAATCTCATCATCTTGTTTAGTTTTTGTTGTGTGATATATCTATGGCAAAATAGACAGAAAGTTCGACTCAACCTGAAGGATTGAATCTTTGATTTGATGTATGCGTTCCTTGTGTTTCTGATCAAGGAAATGAGGTGTATTTGTATATGTGGGCTAATTTTGATTGTATGTTGTCTCCTTGACAGTTTTGCATTGCTTTTGATTTAGAATTGATTTCTAAAGACGGCCCATTTTTCTTTCTTGCAGACATTTATAGCTAGCCATCAGGGGAAGAGTTTTGATTGTTTTTTGCGTGGGAAAAACATGAAGAATATTGATTTTTATTCTCATCCCTTGAAAGTACATATAGTTCTAGCTGATACTGGCCTCTGAAGATAACCAGCAGTTGGCAGATAAGGTTGCCAGAGTTTCTAAAGTTTCTCTCGTTTGCCTTTTCCCCTTCATTTTTGGGGGCATAAAAAAAAACTGAAGTCATTGTAATTTAATTTGGGCTGTTGAACTGGGCCTACATTTGGCCCAATGTCTTTTTCGTTTGTAGTTGGTGAGTCTCTAACTTAAATAGTTCTTGCTAGTCTCATCTTTCTTGCAATGTACAAGATTAGGTTGTAATCAGAAACTCTTTGTTCACTCTCCCTGCCAAAGCTTTGCGACCAAAATTCTTGATCTCCCATTTCTATTGGATTTAGGCTAAAGGCCTGACTGATATGCCGGAACCAGTCTTCAATAGCCAACAAAGTAGTTTGGTTAATTCCTGATTTACGTAGAAGAATGTAGTTCGATTGTATAACCCAAGACTAAGATGCATGTCGGACTAAATAATATGATAGTGAACAACATAGTTAACTTACTTTCTGTTTTTCAACTCCATTATCCAAGAGCTATATATCGCAAAACCACTACGGCTTATCATGTCTAACGTCATCGAGAGCGAGTGGCACTTAATTACTTAACTGCTCTTCGTCATATAGTTTCTGTAACAGTTTTTTGGTGCCATAAAACAAACAATGCCACGATTGTGTAGGTTAACACCACCTCAAGACCTCCATAGCTAGCACATTAGCTTAGTAAAGACTTGACATTTCCGCTACCATCATGCATGCCGTTCCAGCTACGTTTTGGCCTAGCCGGAGTATTATTTTTGTTGAGATCATTGGGAAGGTATAGGTTTTTGAGTACCATTCTTCCTCAGACGTAGAATACTTTGTCGACCTTAGGCGATATTGCTCAAACATTTAAGCTAGGATGATATGTATATATATAGTTACTCTTTGGCTCTATATATCTTCATACTCCAAAATCTGGGTACCATGGAAACTGAATATAAAGATATGTTCATGCTAGTATTTTAACAAAGCTAAGTAAGTGCAAGTTTAGGCGGAAGAGAAAACCACTTTCTGATCCTGCGTCAAAGAAGAAACACAAACTACACGTAATTAATGTTTGCTATATATATATATATATATATCCTATCCTTAAATAATACGTCTAAGAGAAGATGTAAATTAACTTACAAGGTGATCTGATCATTAATTAAAATGCCATAAATAGCATGAGAAACAACTCCGACTAGCTTTGCTATGACAAGCATTATTAGGTACAGGACTTTCCAAGTACTGCGCATGCAAAGCGATAGAACCTTAACAGTAAAGCAGTAGTGCTACAACCTTCAAACGTTTGCCTTTTTTGTATACCCCTCCCCTCCCCCTCTGGTTTGGTCATTGCTGATCATCCTGCAACCCAATATTCACAAATATCAAAGGCTAACGTTAATTCTCCTGAGACATTAATTTCTCTAACTTCTACATCCAAGTTAAAGATATGGCATGTGGAAATGCTTTTAGGATCATATATATAGAGAGAACATAATCATAGGAGACAAGGGACAATCTGATACATGATGAAGCAATATCAGTGCAAAATGAGAAAGAAATCAACATCTTCCTTAACCAAAGGAAACAATCACAGGATAAAACCAATGCAATTGATTGCATAGTTGATCTAGGATTCTGTAGTCTGTACCTAGGTATATGTGATTGGTAAAAAGGATAACAATATTGGATGATGATATCTAACACATTCTCCAAGGGAAACAGAATGGAAAGGGATCAGTGGGAAGATAAACATTCCACCTTTCTGTTTCTTTTTTTTTTCCTTCCTACCAAACAAAGTGAGAAAAATATGAGTGCATCCCACCTTTTTTCTACACTTCATTCATCTGCCCTTTACTCCTTTTTACCAAATAAGGGAAAATAGTTTATTCTTTACTCCCCTTTTCCCTTCTATTAAACCTGGTAATTGATGTTAGAAATTTGGTCAGAATAACATTCCATGTCTTAGTAAATTACGAGGGCGTAAAGTCAAGAAAACAACAAAAGAGTTTAACCTTAGAATAAAGGCTCACCCCCTCAAACCTAACAAGGGTGTAGAGAAGTTGGAATGCAAGCTTAGAAAAGTTTACAACGACTTGAATCTAGCTTGCTTGTGATCTAATTAATCAGGAATTTTTCCTAAACTAATTATTAGCAAGTGTCTTGAGGGCTAGGTTCATACTTTTTCTTTATTAAATCATAATTTCGTTAAGATTTGCTGAAGTTAAAATTCAGTTTGACTTAAGTTTGATACACAAATGTAGTGATGGTAACACCCACCACATCAAAACCATTCTCCCAAGCTAAAGGAGAAAATACACTTAAACAAAATCACCATTTCGAACAGTAACTCAGCCTAATTAGAGAATTTATATTGTCTATCATCTTATAATTCATATAACAGAATCAACTAATCTTAATGAATGAGCAGACAGAACATTTCAAGCACCATCCCACAAACAACTCCTTCCTATTCACAGCCCTTTTAGCCAAGGAATCGACACAATGATTCGCCAGGTTAAGACTCGAATTTTCAAAAGATTGAAATAAATGCAATTGTTCACTGAGGTACTGGCTAGCTAAAACATAAAGAATCTTCGATGTATTATTTTGAAAATTTTAATTTACATAGCTTTGACACAATCCTAAAGTAGTAGAACCTAGATAATTTTTCAATTCAGTGTATTAGCTTTTCTTGAATATGGTGACATTGAAATGCAAAATAAAGAATTTTTTTTATTTGCTCAACATACAAAATAAAGAATGTTTCTTCAAATAACACATTAGCTTTAGCTCTCATGGAGGGGAGGGGAGATAGGTACTCCTTCAAAGCCTTCTAAGTTGCAAGATTTAGAGATGTCTCATTAATATTTTTTCCCTGTATAGATGAAAATTACCATTATTTTTGTATTTAAATAGATATAAGATTGATAAAGTATATCATAAGTTTTTTATGTATGTTCTTTTCATTTTTGCCTTAAGCCAAATAATTTGATAACATGCTCATTCATTTCATTTTAATTTAAATAAGAAGTCTGACCTTTGTCTCCCACGAGTGCTTCTCCTCAACCTCTATTCTTCTGTCTCATTTCTCTCTCAAACATAAGCTAAAACTCTTGAAGAATATCATAGTGAAAGAAATGCCCGAAACTAAGTTGTGATTAAGTGCATTTGCATGTACAGTTATATTGATTTACACGGTGATTCTGACTGGGGAATGCAAAAGAACCTGGTAAACAAGTAGATGTAATGATTCGGAAATCCTAACATCTTCCAGTCCAAACTGTTTCTCCTTGACCACTGTTTCTCCAAAGGAAATGTGGAATAAAAAAAAAAGGGGTGAAAAGAATTTTTAAAGATGTTACTTCCTAAGACAATTGTATATTATTAGATTCCGTACAAATCAGGGCAAGGAAATGATCAGAAAGACCAGGAAAAGGAGTAGCAGTGTTATTCTCTCTCCATTCCCTGATATTCCTTATAGGAATCAGTAATGGTAGCTTTATATGCACATGTGTACGGTCTAAACTCTACTTGCTTCCAGGGTCAAGCTACTTGTCATTCACGGGCATTTGTTATTTACACTAACAACAGTATTCTTGTTTTTTCTACTTTTTTTAATCTAAGCTTAATAAATTTATTAGGCTAATTGACAAAAAATCGTTTAAAAAATTGTTACTCACCTCATTCAATACCTAAGATATTACACTTATGACTCTCCCTCCACTTCATAAATTCGAATTCGAAAATAAATTAATCCGTTTTTTTTTTCTATTTAATAATTCAAAATGCAATGTAATAAGATCGAAATCCCTCTCAAAAAAAAAAAAACTAAAAAATTCATTTAACAGCTGGTCATGGACCAGACAGGGGCTAGCTAAGGCCAGTTTATATTCTTTTCCATTCTTGAAAATGGAAAGGAGTTGCCCTTCTTCCTTTTAAACCCTCTCTTCTTTTCCAGTGATTGATTTGATCAGTGTAAGATTAAAAAATTTAAAAGTTTTGAAATCCATTGTTGGGTTGTCCCCCTTGAGTACATTGATAAATCATATTTAATTCTAATCTACACACATAGTAAGTATACCACATTACCTTAACAACAAAAGAAAAAGATTATAGTACTACATTATTGCCTGTAAATTTAGAAGTTTGATATATATATATATATATATATATTTCCATGAAAAGGTGTAATCAAAATTATTTCCCAAAACGATGTAAAACAAAATCAATGCCCAATGCGGCTGCGAATGGAGGGAATGGCTTCAATTACCAATGAAAATGGTTTCTTCACATATTTTATTATTAATTGAGAGACAAAGACTGAAACCATCTTTTACATCCCAACTCAGTATATCTCTACCAACTCCTTGTTTCGTTTCACCTCACCTTCAACATCTAGCAAAGAATCCGGCCTAATCATATAGAAAGTAATCTGCTAACATTTCAAATCACTTAAGTAGATCTGGTCTAATGGTACTTGTTGTCTTCCTTATGAGTGTAAAGGTTTAAGATTCAAATTCCCTTTCCTCTTTAAGTTTTCTCCAATGTACCAAAAAGAGTAAGAAAAGAAGAAGAAGAAGAAGAAGAAACTGTTGGACTTAAGGTTGCATCTTTCTCCCCTTTCCATTACTTTTTTTTCTTTGAAAGGTTGTGCATCTTTCTCTTCTTGGAAAAGTTAGGATAAAGCTCTCAGCAAAGTACTAATGCTCCCAGCAAAAATAACTCAAAGCATTTAGGCTTGTCTCTAGCATTTAGTTTAGACTTATGTGTAAAGTATAGTACCATGTAATTGTACCTATATATATATATATATACATAATTAAGTTGTTAGGAAAGGATTAAGCCTCTTCTTGTCTTAGTCAAAAGTTTAAGCTCTCACAAAATATCTTAATTGCCGTATTTGCCACAATTTTATAATTAATCTTTAATGCTATTTAATGATATGTCCCACTTGATTAGCCTGATGAAAAGTGTAAGTACTCCAATAATGAAACACAATCTAATTACAGCCAGGTCAAGTATAAGACAGGCTAGACCATACAAATGAAGATATCACAAAATTAATAATGTATACATACGTAATGCATACCTATCACAATCCTTTTATGCATTTCATTAATTTATAAAGAAGCAATCAAACAAGGGAGCTCAGCCAGATACGATGACAACAAAAGAATTTTAATTGATTAACTATTGGAGAAAAATAATTGAATACATCTTACTAGCTACATATAAATTAATTTCACACAAAGGTTAAGACA